AAGTTCAACACTGTGGTTATACTGGCGAACTCCGGTGCACAACACCACGTGTCTGCGGCATCGGGAACGCGACAATCTCAAACAAGCCAATATTATTACTGAAATACAGGTGCAATATTACAAAGCTGTCTGGTAGTAAGTGTGATTATCTTAATACTTCCGCAATGCATTTTCACAAAGCCATCATGTATCGACTGCTTATGGAGTATGCCGGATTCAGTGTGTTATTATCTGTACGATTTAATGCGGTATATACTTTCAGTATAGCATTGGCCCCGAACGGAAATATTTCTTGAGAATTGTGTAAGCCCGGTTTTCCTCGTTACGAGTTTAAAATCACTTTAGAGCTATCCCTTGCAACTTCTTTCATATACTTAGTAGTTCAATACAGTGCTTGATTGAAACACAGCTGATAACCCCAGAAAAGTTTGTAACAAATTTACCTTGTGACAAGGAGAGGGTTGGAGGTTTTTATACTTAGTGTGCTGAAGCCGAAGTGATTGATGAGTATCTTCCCTTCGTCGACAGTGGAAAGAAGACGAGGAATACTTTACATGCTTTAGGAACTATGGGAATCAACAAGGAATGTCATTCAGTATGAAAGTCACTTCCTATCTTTGCTGTTGTTTTACAACAAATAATCACCAAAAAGGGAACTTTTTACAAAATCATGGTCACTATCCGCGAACCCAAGAAATGGATTAAGCTACTTCATGAGAACTTCGTTAACACCACTATACCCCGCCTCCAATCGATGCATTTTAATGCGAGACGTTCAGCTGATGCGAAAAGGTGTTAGCCATTAAAGATCTTCTCATCAAACGGTGTCGGAAATAAGAATCAGAGTAAAAATTCCTTCCCTTTGCCCTTTAAAGCGATTACAGAAATCAAATTAGCTATATAATCTAACATAAAATCATTCACAGCATGAAAATGTAGATGAAGAAAAATTCGTTTATTAGCAATAGAAATTAAAAAGTTATTTCCCCTCCCTGTTACTTCCGATCAAAGCGAACTGTATAAATTTGCTTTTCTAGCTGCGTGCAGGCGTCCGCATTATAGCTAAAGTTCCAAAACTGGTATTCGGGTATATGCGACGCGAATTTGACTCTTTCTGAACCCGATATATCGTTTGGAATTAATCGTTTTTATCGCGCCGTTTACCTCTTAAACAACTTGTAATGCAAGGTAAATATGTCCTTTGGGTCACAGGCCTGGGAAGTTTTCAATGACGTCTCATTAGTGCAGGAGAAAGTCGAAATTGAAAAATAAACCGCTTCTATATTCGACATTAAAACAATACGGAAAAAATTAAAACATGTGTAAATTCCTTCTCCTCCCTCTTGTGGTACTTTAATCAAAGTAAACTAACAAATAAGACATGCGTATTTTTCCGTATACATTGCTGTTGTCTCTGGTAAGACCATATGGTAGTCTTATTGTAGCGATATTGCTCAGGGTTAGCAAGGACAGCAAGCGGTGATAGCTGTGTATGTAATGATGATATAAATAGAGGGGTATCGAATGGTCCCATTCAATTTACAAGTGCTCGCAAAATTTGGCCTGTGCTCGAATTGCCCGCAAAAATTACAGGGGTGCTCGCTTGCTGTGCTCGTAAAATTTTCGCAACTGCTCGCTTGCTCGCATTCTCGTCAACATGTGCTCGATTGCTCGAAATTTCGTTAATCCTGTTTTGTAGCTTTTATATCTGGTATATTCTTAAATAAAATACTGCTTTAATCATTTTGATCAAAAACTAAAGGCCTAGCCAAACGAGGAGGCATGTCTAGGAACTGTCTCCATGTCGAGCGGAAACACGAAATGAAAGAATTCTTCTCGAAAGGCACCCGCGAAGGTAGAAAGTAATCTAGAGGAGCACTACTATTACCAGTACTATTTGACCTTTAGAGCTACTACCAGAGCTTGTCAGACCTGTACGGCTGTAATTCAGTTAGCTTTTAGAAACCTCCAAATAAAAGCTAATAAATGAAGCTTCATTGTGTTGAATCTTTTGCAGTCAATCAACGGGAAATCAGTTTACCGATCATCGAAACCGAAGGCCGAAATGCATGTTAGACCGAATATCAGGTTATTTACCTCTCCTAAGAACTACATACCCAAAACAACATACTTTCTATTTTAGCGTCAGGTTAGAAAGAGATGGAAAGCTTTAGATCTCAGGCTTTGGATCTAGTACATCTCCTTGAGAGCTCTTGAAGTTCTTGAACGTCCACCCCAACTGAGTCACGTGAAGCTACTTGATGTAGTTTGGCATAAAGCAGGACAAATTGGTTTAAGATGCCGGGGCTGGTTGAGGCGCTTAGCTTTGAACTTATTGTTCTGTTTTGGAGGTGTCAGCCAGATTGTTAGCTATTACTTGGCGCAAAACAACGTATCCCACTAATAAACGAGAGATTCCAGCTAGCGGAAAATTTGTGAAGTACTCGGAGTGTTCGCTGCTCGCCATCTGTAATTTTCTAAAGTGCTCTCTGCTCGCAAGAAAAATTTGACAACTTCTCATGCTCGCTAAAATAAACATACTGCTCGCATACTCGCAAATGCCCGCAAAGATCATTTAATACCCCTAAATAGCCATGGCAGTATTGTATGGTAATGCCTAAAGTTCTTATTACTTTCAAGACTCCTCATGGGCTTTCTTCTACAGGAATATCATCGACCATGAACTCAACGTTCATCATGCTCCAAATCACCTCCAAACTTTGCGACATACTTCAACCTGCATATTTTTTTCTATGCACCTACATCATGGCTTATCACCCGCAATTCTTTTAAAAGTGCTATGTTGGTTCGGTATTTCTAAGCTGCGTACATTTTTTAACATTTTATATGTTTTTATTCCGTTTCATGTTAACTTTTGGTTATTTTGTGTTGAATAATGAAGAAAAAAGAAAAAAGGTCATTAATGAAATCTTGGTTTTCAATCAAAGGACCTAGAAAGGAGAAGAAATAATTGATAAGTTCAGTTAACAAGCTGAAGCGGTTGTAACATGTAAACTTGAATTGTGCGCGATACATTGGTATGAGATCCCATTCATTTCAGGAGAACATCATGATAGTCGGATAAATGAGTGTTTAATCATGAAACATGCAGGAATTAGCAGTTCCTCCCCAAACAGGTTGAATGATATGTCATCTGATCTTCGTTTTTCTTTGTAAGCCTGAGTTTATCATTATCGTTAGCGGAGGAACATTCCTTATGAGGACAACTGGAAATAGCAGAGAAGCTTACAGTATATGCGAAGCCTCGGTGTTCAGTTTTAATGTCTTCCACGCACAAGTCTTCTTTCATACATACAGATCAATGCTATGCTAAAAATGTTGTGATGTTCATCATAGAAATCTTTGCACAAGCACAATGATCCATGCACTGGCTCTCAAAGTCACTCTTTGGAGACCTAAAATCATGTTGTTGGCGATCTGGAGAGCGTGACACTTCTCTTTTTTTATGTTGAAGAATGACAGCTGTTCAGTTGTCCCGTGATTTTGACTGGATTATAGGAAAACACGAATTTTTGGCTTTAAACTTGTCAAGTAGCTCGGTTGGTGGTGTGTCGCTGAGTTTTCCACCTTTTACTGTGTTAGTTACAAAAGAAATGCTGAGTTTTTGATTTTGCGGTTTTTCCTTATACACAGCTGGAGTGAGCAGTATAGGCAATATTCGGTTTATGGAGATACACACATCTCGAGGCTTAGTGGTCTGGGCAGGGAAATACTTAAACAGTGCGAAATGAAGACTATGATGCCTTTCTTGGTGATATCTTAGAGTGCTGTAAGAGTTTTGTAGGCTTCCATTCTAATTTAAAGCGCCGCGTCCTACAGTAGGCACGAAACGTTGACGAGCGTGACGGAACTTCTGCTTATCCAAGTTAATTAATGTAAAATCCAAGTTAATTAATGTAAAATCCAAGTTAATTGATGTAAAATCCAAGTTAATTAATGTGAAATCCAAGTTAATTAATGTAAAAGGAAACTCTAACTTTGCAAGTTTCTCCCGCTGCCTCCTTAAAAGCTATGGCACAAAGTAAAAGCTTCTTCGATGATGTGAAAAAGGAAGTAGAATGCCCAGTGTGTCAGGAACAGTTTGGCGAAAACAAGGAACCGAAAATACTCAGTTGCTTTCATACTTTCTGTAAATCATGTCTGGAAGGTTGGCTTCGACAACAACGCAAGGGAGCTTTGAGTTGCCCGACTTGCCGAACAAAAACTGAGTGTCCTAACAATGATATCGACAGTCTTCCGTCGAACCTGTTTTACAAACAAATGGTGGAAATTGTGAAGGCATACACAGGCCAAGAAGAATCATCACGCTGCGGTAAATGTGACGAACAAAAATCGCTAAAGTTTTACTGCTCCATTTGCAACTGTTTACTGTGCGAAGAATGTTCTGCAGTGCATCAGAAGTGGAAAGATTTCAGAGGCCATCAGCTTAAGGAAATTGGAAAACTTCAGTCTCGTGATGTAGAAGACTACTCTCGAAGAGCAAATGTCTGCAAGGAACACGAGGACGAATTCAGATTTTTCTGTAGAGCATGTCAAATTTGCATTTGTCGTGACTGCGCCATATTGGATCACGACGACCACAAGAAAATTTCGCTTGAGAAAGGATTAGAAAATAAGACTACTGAAATTGAGAATAAGATACGAGAGGTTCAGACAAACGAAGCCCACTTGAGAAACAAAAAGGAATCTCTGGAGAAACGTAGAATCAAAGTATTTAACAGCTCTGAGCGAGCAATGACTAGTGTACGGATGGTTGCAGAACAATGGATTACATTCATTCGAAAGCATGAAGCAGACATAACAAGAGAGTTGCTGAGGCAGAAAGACGCATTTGAAGCTGAATTTTCAAACCAAATGACGAGCTTGGATGGAAGACTGGCAGAAATCGAAATTAGCTTGGGTTTTGGCGAGGAAATTCTCTCTCGTAAGAATCTACCAGAAATATTAAATGTCGAAGAAATGTTGGAGAACAGGCTGCAGAAACTATCCGCGCCTTTTGAGCCTACACTGGAGTTCCCTGAGGTTGTTTACAGTTCAAATGATTTCAGTTGCTTGAAATACGGACCTGGAAAGCTGATAAGGACAGTTACAGAACCTACGGTATCTGTTGCAGAAGGTCGGGGTTTGACTGAGGCAATACAAGGAGAAGAGAGCACATTTACTGTGATAACAAAAGATTTTAAGGGCCAAATTGTGTACAGTGAGGTCGATCAGATCACTGTGGACATCGTTTCCGTAAAATCAGGAGAGAGATTGAAAACAGGAGTGACTGATTCGAAAAATGGCCGCTATCAGGTGAAGTACAGGTGTCACGCTATAGGAGACTTCAAAATATCCGTCGCTGTCCGAGGTGAAGCCGTCAGGGGCAGTCCGTTTGTGTTACACGTGAAGGAGGAAACAACAAAATTTTCGTCAGGTATTTTTTTTTTAATTTAATAAATTTGCAAAATAAAACTCCGGCGAACGATAAAGGAGAAGGTAAGAAAGGCAAGCC